CAAAGCACGGCATTACAACCAGCAAGCGAAGACAAAACAAGTGAGCCTGAGCCGGCAGCAGAAGCTCCAGAAGCACCACCAGAAGAGCCACAACACACAGCTACTGAAGAACTCCAGCAGGCAGCAAACGCTTCAGAATCCTCACTTCCGGCAGACGCACTGGCAAAGACCCAACTGTCCGAAGCAGAAGCAAAGGATACCCACCTTACCCAACAGCCAAACACACCTTTGGCAAGCGAATCTGCGGCAACTTCTGCGGCTGCAAGCCAAGCAGATACAAAACCCAAGGAATCAAAGAAGAGCAAGGCAGCAAGGGCAGCACAGATGAGTCAGTCCCTCGATTCGTTCTTCCCTGGAATGTCAGCTGCAGGATCAGACGTGAATGAGGCGATGACACTGGACAAGGACACATGACTCATATACTATTCTATTGGGAATTCTATTTGGAAATTGGCTGGAGGTTTTGAGATACCAGAGGGTTTTGACACTAGGTTTCAATTAGCGTTTAAGGCGTTAAGTTCACCCCCAATTTTGCATCAACATTGGTAAGTATTCACTATTCACTATTCACCAAACTAAGGACGATTGACGACTGACAGACTGTCGACTGTGGTGTTCGGGACTCTGGTTGCCATACGCCATTCGGCTATACTACTTTACTATACTAATACAGTAGTGAGTACGGTGCGACAGTATTACTATAAACACATTGTGTTGACTCCTTTGAATTTTAAGCAAATATTTTGGAAGATTAGTGTAATTGGTGATGACAACACTTGTCTTCAAACTTCAAACTTAAAAGAAACCTCAAATACACAGAGGACCCTGGACCACAGCTGACCGACCAGGGAAAGTTGAAGAAGCTGCGCAAAAACCCAGAAGAGGACAAGCCTGCTGCTGCCACTGACTCCAAAGCAGGGAGGAAACATGGCCTGTCCAAAGAAGACTCTCACGTTGCTACGACACCGGCTCCGAAGAAAAGGTCGAGGAAGTAGCTGAGAAGAGTCTCACTTTTGTCAGTGTAGTGTTTGTGGGTCGGTCAGCAGAGCAGTGGTGGGATAACCTATCCATTGCCACGACTGCGTCAATAATGGGGACCCGGGGAGATTTGGAAGACTTCAAAGGCCACTGAGCCGGTGCTTCCGTGTCAAAAGCAAGCATTGTCTCAGCGCCGGGGACCGTGCCACAAGTTCTTCGCATATCGGTTTTACATGTCATTGGGCAGCAATCAGGCAACCCAGGACTCAACAACCCTTTGCTTACTGTTCATGTTCAAAACCTTGTGTTTGTTTTCTTTATCATTGTTGTTGGCCACTCTGACATTGCTGTTCCAAACCTTGCGAAAGCGCAGTTGCCGGGCAACCAGCAGTTACGCAGTTGTCACATCTTATATATGATTTGTTGGAGGCAAACAGACCGACCAGTCGTTTGCATGATGCATGGCCCGCTGTTCAAGGATGTGAAGCTGGTGAAAAGCCTTTTGCACGTGCTTTACAAACACTCCCACACATGTTGTGGACACTGACACTAACCAATCTTTTGGCCTGAATGTATTCATGAACATTAATCATGGACCCCATTGAATAGGCAATAATATGTTTCTTTAAATAGCAACTCCCGCCATGAGCCATAATGATGGCAGAAGCGTGTGCCAAACCACATCGCAATGATCGTGGAGCCGATTTTGGAGATACAGCTAGATAGAGCTAATACAGCAAACAAAAAGCAGTGAAGAGCGCTGCAGGGACTGCACTCTGAAAAAAATATGACATTTGGGAGTGTGGGAGAGGCCTCCATAAGGAGCATGGAAATGCAGGGGACTCCATAAGCGTTCAGATGACGCTTTTTCAAAAAACACTGTGTTGTGGACACTTATGGGCTTCCCCAACCATCACTATTTTGGCTTTGACGCTTCCAGAGTTATTTCGCATGTCCTCACGAAACTTGATAGACAGAATCACCAAAACTCTGAGAACCTCCAAACATCTCCAACCCATCATGTGATAGATGGGGTTGGACGGCAAGTCCTCCGACCTCAGAACTCCAAGGTCAGCTCTTGGACGGCTAACTGGAGCCTCAGCCCCTACCTTCTTTCAGAGTTGTTTTGCACAGATTGCCCCATAATCTGCAGACCATCGGCCGCGAAAAGTGAGCCGAGAACCTCTGAGGCAAGCACTCACGGACTTGGAGATCACTGAGGAGTCGGTGCATCGCATCTTACGCGTTTTGTTCCCCTCGAATCCCTCCTCCATGGCACGAGTGGGCAGCAGCTATAGACGGCAGCGGGGCAACAAGGTCTTGGCCTTTCAAAACTCAGCCTTTTCGCAGAGTGTGCCTGAGACTGGTTTGGATAGAGTGCAGGTGACAGGATTCCAGCATCATGTTGGTTAGATAGAGTTACCGTTTCCTAGAATATGTGCTCAGATAGCTTTAAGTCAGCTACAATATATTTAACTATTCTTGGATGCACTAGTTTAGTTAAGTTTCTCACTTTCCTTAGAGTAGTTCCACATACTGTAATGGCTGCGGAAAGAGGACATGCAGACTGGATAAGAAGAGGATCCTTCAATGAGTGACTCATTGAGATGCATCACTCATCTAAAAAGTCCTCGAATGTCCAAACATCAATTCACCCAACTGTACTGGGTGTCCAGGTGAAACAAGACTCAACAACCAGTACACCAGAAGACCAGGAAAAAAACAAAAACTTTAAGTTTGTTGGTTCCCCAAGAACCTGCTCATGACCTCTTTGATGTTTTGATGTGTTATTTGCAAGCCTTAGGAGTCCCATCTCTCACGTTTTCTTTGAACAGATTAAGGGACAAGAGACCCAAAGACAAGAGGGGATGAGTCGCCACCGGTAGCACCAAACAAACAGCCCTGCCGTGATCAGCTGTTCGGTCCCCACATGCCGCATGGTTTTTGTAGTAGAGGGTGGTAATTGGCCTTGACTGGGGCTTCTGGGGGAAATATATTTACTGTATCTGTATTTTAATGTATTTTCCAAAATACCCGTTTTCTTCACCTGCCGGTGGGGACATGACATGCTGATCCAGCCAATCCACACACACATCATCTATCACCTGCCAGGTCCCATTGCTGCCTTCCATTGGGTCGGAGGAGAAGCCGTCCTTGCGACGGAGTATCAGTAGCTCGATCAAGCCGTTGAAGATTGGCATTGAGCCAAAAGCGGAGAAGGTGCAAGTACCATCGCCACGGACAGCTCTTGATCAATCACTGACGACTTGGATTGGTTTATGATGTTTTTGTGTTATTGTTGATATTACAGCGACTTTTTATAACAGTTCATCGAGCAAACACATATATTTGTGTTTAATTGTTACATTTTGTTACAGTGCATTCAACTATTTGTGTGTGTGTGTGTGCGTGGCCAGGTGAACGACAATTGGAAAACACCTATAGCCATGCAGCACCAGTGGACCACTTGTATATATATAATGTATATATATAATGTATATATATAATGTATATATAAATATATACGTTCAGCCCCATCTAGTGCGGATTGCAAGGCCCTAAATGGGAATTCACGAGCCCCATGCGACCCGTGAAGAACTGCAGGTGTGTTTTGTCCATGGCTCCACATCGCGCAGCGACCGACGTTTATATATATATATATGAAAGGGTCCAGCGACCTGGTATCGCTACCGCACACATGGTAATGAAGCAAATACACCAAAGGAATGTGCCGATAGTTTAGCCGCAAGAACTGCAACATGCACAGCCATGCACTGCCATCGGGGCAGCATCAACGACAAGCAACACGCCTCAAGTAGGGACAACGACGCCGTCACTATAACAACAGCAACAACAACGCGCCCATCTGGTGGTTCGGCGCGTGTTTCATGATTGAACACAGCTTGTAAATGGAGTGTCAAGCCTATTTTTCGCTGCTGCCCACAGCATTTCACACTTTCACACGAAGAGCGACGAATTCTCTTTGTCACTGTCTATCTGAAGATAGACATCAGGATGACTTCCCATCTTTCCGACGCAAAATTTTCTTGCCACTGCCATCCCCCCCAAGCCCCCCACGTATTTTAAACACACGACTCATCAACGACGTTCTATGATTCCGCTCACAAGTTCTATGAATCCGATGACAAGTTCTATGAATGCGATGACAAGTTCTATGAACCCGATGACAAGTTAATTATGAATCCGATGACCAGTTCTATGAATCTGATGACAAGCAGTATAACCCGTGCACCCATCCCGATCTGATGGCTTGGGCACAGTCACAAAACCCTGCGTACACCATGAAAAACGACTCCCGAACCCCGATTTGCATGATTAATATACAAGGGTATTTGACATCTGTACTGTGCGCCGAACCATTCGATCGGACCCAACAACAAAAAACATCACAACATCATTGACAAGCCACCATCACATGGCCAGCAATGACATCAATGCCACTATGGCAACAATGTTGATGGCAATGGAAAGAAATAGTACAGGGACCACCTAGTACACCATACCGGACCAGACCTCAAAAAGGCCTTGGGCAAGCAGCCTGGTTCGGAGATGTTCGGAGATACTTGGTTTCTCAGCAACTTCGTGATACATCACCCTTGGCCCTTAGCCATGTATGTCCGTGCAGACGTCCACAAATCCGGTATGGCACGCTTTGAACAGACGAGTCTCTTACATCCGAACGCTGAGGAGACGGATTTGCCCTGGCGCCGATGCAAGCCAGGTGAAGAAGATGGGGGATTTGCTGAAGCGGGAGCTGACCATGAGAAGCGCTGAGACATCCAGCGAGGCACACAACGGACCACGCCGCCAGCCGCTCTACACCACGCCCAACGCGGCGGGCAGCAAGCGCCTTGGGTGCAGGTAGGCGTGTGTCTCCTACACGGCCCGTGAGAGGGCGATTGAGAGACCCAAAATGCAGATCAGACCCCCAACAGAGGGCGATTTCAGGGGTTTTGAGAGGGCTTTTCGGTATGTGCACCGCAAACACCCAAAAACAGGTATACGTACCCCATGCAAGACCGTGCATGCGTCGTCATGAGAGCTCTTGGACATCCAAAAGGTCGATTTTAGCAGAAGGTGGTTCTTCCGACTCATTAGGAAACGTGTTGAGACTACATAGTTATATACCAGCACCACCCAAAGGGTGGTTATTAGATGGAAAAAACATCTTCAGGGGGGTCTATAAACCACCCTTTGGGTGGTTCCATTCGTCAGATACCTATCACCTGCATGGAGAAGTGGGGATCTTCAGATCATCAGATCGGCCAGGGTCGACCATCTGGTCACCGTGGTCCTGTCGGACCGGCCATGGGAGAATCTATCGGACCCAACGGTGTTTGGGGAGCAATGCTACGAACGGGGCTCCTGGCATCGCTACGAACGGAGCAAGGACGCTACGAACGGGGCTCCTCACCCTACTACTAGGAGCAAGAATGCTACTAGTAGCAAAGGGAATCGCTACTAGGAACTTGCTGGGTCTCATGATGTCGGTCTTCATGCAGCCAGAGTGACTCGCAGTGTGTGAACTACGGTTCACATAAGCAGCATTCTGGTTAGTTTGTTCAGTTGAGGTTCATTCAAGCGTCAACAAATGTTGGCAAACAATGTTTCAGAAGGATGGTCTGACCTGATGTTCGTACAGTTTTTAGAAGGTTTGCCGTAAGGTAGTGCAAAAATGAACAACCCGGCACCATACTCATGCCGTAACTAGTTACAATACATGTAACTAAACTACATTGTATTATCCTTCGACACTCCCTCCCATGGGGGTCACGGTGACCAATCAATCAATGTTGTCCCGTGCTGCAGCTGAACTAAGATTTCATAAGGCAATGGTCCAAAGACAGAGACACGGCAAAAAGCAGCAGCCAGCTGTGCCAAATGACGCTGAGACGTGTCGCAGCACGGTTCATCCAAGGAGCATGGCCAAAGATACGCTGAGCTCCTCGAAGTTGGAGTCCAGCTTGGTACCTCGAAGATGAACGAAGACAAGCTCCGGGGCCGGAGCTCTCGGTGTCAGTCATGATCGGTCCAAGGCCTGATTGGTTTGTAATGAAGCATGTATTAAAGGTTAAACCCGTAAGCAGGGACTCCAAGGACAGAACCTCGGGTCCAGGTCAGCTCAAAGTGGAAGGGCATGATGCCCGATTTTGAGTGGTCCCCAAATAGCGAATGAAACTCAATGAAACGAAGGCTTCAAGAAATTGTTGGATCTATCCATTTGTGGCTCACAATGAATTAGGTATACTGTATATACACTGTAACAGATGGTCCAAATGGGTTTATGTGGCATTGTTGACCAAGCAGTCTCCACTGCGGCGGAGATCCGTCCAGTTTGACCGTCCTTTTTGCTGGTCATTGGATGAATCCCTTGCTGATCAGTCATCATCAACCGGAAAATCATCAACCGGATCATCAGTGATCATCAACCCGAGCATTCAGCAGGTCCCGGCCAAGATCTATTCCCATCTTGGATAGCACAGAAACCACAGATGTGCTGGGGCACATCTTGCAACGCTTGCCATCAAAGTGAAACATTGGAAGTGGAAGCACCTTCAATGATGTGTGGAATTGAGACATGATATAGTTTGTAATTTAGAGTTGGAATTGAGGTGCCTTTTGGTCCTTGAATTCTCAAAGGCACTCCCACCTTTTGCTTCCCTCAGCCTTATGGATCTTGTCTACAACTGTGGCTGGCCCTGACCCGAAGCAATGCACAACTGATGATGTCAAGCAATCCTTTCTGTTTTCTGTTTGTGGATGGTTCCATGTTCTATTTGTACTGGAGAGTGTGGCACAAAATCAGAGCTATATCGGGACTCCCCAAAGAGATCATCGCCAATCCCAATGGCGATGGTCCCGGACCCGATTGACCCAAGGAAAAGGCCCGAACCAAAGACCTTTTGGATCAAAGCCCCCCAAAACGGGCAGGTAGTACAGCTTGCCGCCACCTCAATTTTTGAGCGTGAAGTCAAAAGACAACACCAACTGCCACTTCTGGCAAAAAACTTACCCATCACCCCCCCGTCTCTCCCCACATCCCCTCTCCTCCTCCTTGTCTTCCTCCCACCTTCCCGGCAGTGGTGCTTGGCACCGCCACACTACTTGCGCCAGGCGGGTGAGGTCTGGGATAGCCACGAGGAGAAGAGCGACAAGCCCCGGGTCTTCCACAGGATGCGGAATGCGGCCTTCTTGGTGAGCACCTCGGGAGAATCTGGGGATGAAATCAGGTTGGACCCCATGATCCCTGGAGAAAGGCATGCCACCGTGACGAGGTCGGCGCGGATGTTCAGAGATGCTGATGTCGGCAGTAGATGTGGGGTGTGGTGTTGAATAGGTAGTGGGTTGGACCCTCTTGAAACAGGATTTGCAATCCGAGCTTGGGAATGGGAGAATCATTGGTGCCTACCATCTTCTTATTGGGAGTGCCTGAAATGGCTCAGATGTTGGAGTTTGTTCCAATGGCTGTGGGTCCTGGTTATGATATATCACGTGATGCATTTAGACAACTGTACCAATCTTTCTAGATCTATCTAGATCTTATATTTATTTTTAATCCCGGATGATCGATTCAAGGTTGAGATGATTTGAGAAACGTGAAACATGCACCCCATGACCTTTGGACGGTTGAGCTCATGACAGGTGTTTCATGTTTGTTCACCTGGCCGAAAGGCCTTGAGCTGTTTGGCGCGAGAAAAGCGCGGAGGTTGGCAGGAAACCTCACGGCCCCGCCTCGTTCGGTCGTGACATCCCCCAGCCTTCCATAGTGGTTGCGCGGAGCTGGACGTGCTTGCGGACCTTTGTGGTTGAGCCCCCCTGGGCCTTGGACCTTTTTCTCGGTGGTGACCTTCGGCTTTCTTTGTTGCCTCCTTCCTCTTCAAGCAGACGCTTGAGGGTCGCCTCGGAAAGGTCAGCTCGGCCCCGACATCGAGCAGAGGACATCTTCTTCTCCTACGACCTGAAGGTCGAGCTCTTTGCATGATGGTGGAGGAGAAGGATAAGAGCTATGGGTATGCCAGTGGATGGTCGGAGTCCGGCTTCGATGCCAGCATCCCAGTCTGGGATGGAAGGCCGGACAGCTTGAGAGAGTTTCGCAGGACTGTCACATGGTGGCTCTCAAGCATCGACCTCACGAAGACGAAATTCTTCAACTTGGCAGCACGCTTCGCAATGAAGCAGCGTGGATCGGCCCGTCTTCGTGCCCAGGAGTTCTCTCCAGAGGATTTGGCATACCTCCCTGAAGAGAGCGTTGATGACCCCGACAAAGAGGGCGAGAAGATCATCATCCAGGCGGCTGACTACACGGTGGGTGTGTGGAAGCTGATTGATGCCTGGGAGCAAATGGTGGGCAGAACAGTGAGCGATAAGAAAGGAGAGCTTCGAGAACGATTCTACATGACATTGAGGCGCTCTCCAACTGAGGCTGTGATGACCTTCAGCTTGAGGTATCGCACACTGGTCGCCGAGATGAGGGCTGAAGGCATCACTTTGGATGATGCAGAATCAGCCTGGTTCTACAAGCAAAAGCTTGTCCTCAATGAGGTCCAGAAGCAGTTGCTGGAGACCACGCTGAGCTCCACCGATGAGACGTATGCTGACTGCGAACGTGAAGCAGTCAGGCTGTTCAAGAGGATCCACATGATTGGTGGCCATGCTCAGCCCTCCAACCAAGGTTCCATAGCGTCTCTGCGAAAGGCACCTTTTCGACCACCTGGCTCAGGCAAGGGTGGCTGGCGCCGACCTATGTCCTCTTCATCGACGACCGTGTCGGCTTCCTCATCGTTTTCCCGAGGTTCCTCCTCCCGAATGGGACTGGGCGCCTCAGCGGTGAACGTGACTGAAGCTCAAGACCCCGACTATGAGGACCAAGATGGTGAGTTTGAGGCCATGGAGGCCATGGGAGAAGAGGACATGCAAGCAGAGATGCCTGAGGCCGACGCTTTGCAAGGACTTCAAGATGAAGTGGAAGTGCTGGCTTCAGAGTTGGAAGCAGCCGCGAAGGAAGGCTGCGATTCTCAGGAGCTTGACGCTCTTGAGGAACAGTTGGAAGGTGCAGTTGAGGCTCTCGTCACACTTCGAGAAGCCCGAACACAGATCGCAGCAATGCGAAAAGATCGGGGCTTTCGTGGACCAGCCCCTGGATCGCAAGATCCCAAGAAAGCAGCTAAGCAAGGCACATGCCATGTTTGTGGCCGAGAAGGCCATTGGAAAGGAGACCCAGAATGCCCTGGACCTGGCCATAGTGGCACCAGCAACAGCAAGGGCAAAGGTGGCAAAAAGGGTCGACTGCAGTCAGCTTTCAGCGCCGGCAAACGTCCTTCGGAGTCCCATGTTTCGGAAGCCAACATCGTTGACCTGTTGCCCCCAGTTCCTGAGGTGACCTTTGATGATGGACCCCCTGAAGTACATGAGGTGGTTTTGAGTGAGCATCAACTTCACGAGCATGAAGTTTGCGGGATTGAACGGCTGTCAGAGGTCCTTCAATCCCTCAACTCGAACAACAACCCCCAGATCTCCCACGACAAGTTGCTGCAGGCAGCCCTGGACAGCGCTTGCAACCGCTCGTGTGCTGGTGTTGCATGGATCAAACATACAGAAGAAGCACTACAACGGGCACCCTCCTATGTCCAAAGCTTGATCCGTCGCACTCCAGAACAGGAACGGTTCCGGTTCGGGAACGGTGGAGTGCTCACCAGCCGGGAGAGAGTTCGACTTCCGATGCTGCTCGCGAACCGCATCGTCTTGATTTGGGTTTCCTCGGTGCCAAGTACAAAGATGGGCCCCCCTAGTTAAAACACTTGTAACTTACTTGGTGAAGTTACAAATTACTTAAAGCTAAGTTAGCCGGTTCGTAAGTAAGATGTAACTTAAATGTAACTATTTTTAAGTTCTATAAGTTCTAATTGGTGATTTTTGATGTTCAAAAACTATGTTTTTTCAGGTTTCCCAGTAGAACCGAAGGACATCGAAAAACTATGCTTTTTACCTGGGAAAGCGCTGCTGTTGCAAGGGTTTTTAATGTAGAACACTCACCGCGCCGCTTTGCTGAAGAAAAGCAAAAAGCAAAACAAAAAAAGCAAAAAATGCGCTTCGAATTTCTTCGGTGGACCACCGCCGCGCTAAAAGAAAAACACTTTCTACTTTAAACCATCAAAACGCATAAGAAAAACAGAACACACACAATGACCTACATCTGTGTGTTAGGAACACGCTGGGCGGTGGTCCGTCCAAAAAATTGAAGGCGATGGTCCGTCCAAAAAATTGAAGGCGGTGGTCCGTCCAAAAAAGTTGATGGCGGTGGTCCGTCCAAAATTTTGATCGCGGTGGTCCGTCCAAAACGTTGTGGCCGGTGCCCAAAAAACGCGGTGCACCCTGATGAACAAGAGGCTATATGTACAGTAGATGTACGGTAATGTACGGTAATGTACGGTAGATGTACGGTAGATGTACGGTAATGT